TTACCAACAGCAAGAATATAAATCAAGTGCAAGCATTCTCATGGAATGCTGATACATGACTGAGTGCTTAAATCAAAGCACCAGGAACTAATAATTAAATTTATAGGGTTCCAAAACATGAACATTCATGTATACTATAGGAAGAATTCAGTAAAAGTAAAATCTTGAAAATTATCGTGTACATCAACATGCAAGCATCCTGGTTTGATGTAAATTTAAGTTTGTTCAAGTCCTGGCACAAAATGGCATTCCAGTATTGGATTATAGAGGGCATTATGGTTCTGTTTTCATCTCGAGGTTAATGATGTCATCAAATGACCAGTCAAAAATACTTATGATTGAGGTCAAGGCCATTAATAGAGTACAGAAACATTAGAAGTAAATGTATTTTCCTGACACAAAGACTACCGGTGCTTATGTCTAATGACCTGAGGTGTGTCATGGCCCTGACACATTGACAAGGTCATTTAGGTGAGTTCAAGGTTATTGGCAGAAAAAGTACAATTCATGTCAATCCACAACTTTCTAATAAATTGGAAGTTCACAACAAAGAATGCTTATGACCTGTGGGTGTGTCAGGACCTTGAAGATAACTTTATCAAGTTCAATGTCACTGACAAAAATGAATAATTTGACCCTGTCTGGTCTATAACCTCCTAACAGAGAAACACTGCAAGTTCATACTTCAGACAAAGATTACTTAAAACCTAAGGGTGAGTCACAATCTTGTCAATGCAAGTTTTAAGGTCACTGGCCAAAAAAGTGCATAATTTGTGTCTGGTCCATAATGCTCTAGATAGAAAAATATTTCACACAAAGATTCTTCATGAGCTGTGGGTATGTCATAAACATAATCCAAGGTCATTTGGACAAGTTCAAGGTCTATATGGCAGAAAAAGGGTTAAAAATTCATGTCTTATCCATAACTTTCAAATGGAGAAACATTTGAAGTTTCTTCTTCATAACAAAGATTACTTGAAACCAGAAGGTGACATAAACAAGGTCATTTTATCAAGTTCAATGTCATTTTCATAAAAAATGTAAAATTTCTGTCCCCAGAGGTCATATCTTGTGATTGGAAAAAATTGGAAGCTCATTCTTGGCACTATGTTTTCTCATAAGATGATACTGTGTTGAGAGGAAGCCCCTAGGTAAATTTTGGCAAATTTAAGATTTCTTGCGGAAAAAGTTAAATCCAAATCTGGTCCAAAACAAGTAAGGCTCTTACCTGAAATATTCCATACAAATATGTAAGAAAGTCTGGTAATATGGCTCCTTTAACATAGAGCCCCCATACAAAGAGTATACCAGTGTGTCCATCCACTACTTCTGCAACAAACCAAGGACCTACAAGGGAGAATTAAGAGAATTTATTTTGTTACAGTAATACATGTATCCTATTTAAAAATACTAAAACATTAAATCTACTCTGATCCATCAGTTTCAGGGTGGGCCTTTTTTTTGTTAGTTATCTTTATGTTATCATTTTCATAAACTTATAGAACAGAAGCTAAATAGTGTAAATAAAGTGTACAAAATTCACCTGAAAATGTAGTCAAACAAGTAATATGAGAGGAAGTATACATGTAAGTCATTCTAGCTGCAAAAATATCCAAATCCTGCTTAAAACAAACAAATTCAGAGAATTGTAGTCCTTTACTTTTGGAGTCTTATTGGTTGGGGTGCAATAATTTATGGCATATATTGTAACTGTCTTGTCTGTCCTGGTTTGTCCATCATGCAAATATAACTTATATTTTGAAAGCAACATGTTCTGGTGTAAAAGTTATGGCCCAAAATTAAAGTACATTCCCAATTATTTATTGCAAGTAATGCACATGGGAAAAGATGTGAAAGACCCTTCTTTTCAGGTGCAAAAGTTAAGGCCATGGTTAAAATTTGTTCAAAACACTGGTTAACGTTAACTGCTGATTAAATCTCTTAACCAGTGTTTTGAGCAACCCAGTCATGGTCTTTTGGAGTTTACAATGAACAAATTTTCTTGTTGAGCTTAATAAAAAAAATGTATACTAGTGAATTTTAAAGCAAAAACAAAATAGAGGTACTGTGAGCACTGAGCAAAAACAAACTAAAGGTACTGTGAGCACTGAGCTTACAAAAGACAGACAGTCAGACAGGACATAAACAATATCCCCTCCACCCCCCCCCCCACCCCCACCCACCCCCCATTCTTAAACCATGGGGCACAAAAATAAAATGTCTTTATTTGTTTGTTCATATGGAATAGTAGTTGTGTAACAGGAAAGGAGAAATATGTAATGAAACCAGATCAGGATTTGAACCCAGGCCCTCTGAATCTCTTGTCAGGTGCTCTACCAACCGAGCTATTTAGCCACCATCAATCGAACCTCTCTGACCACCACATTCCTCCCTCCTAAAAGGTCTTCACCCCCTAAAGACACCAACCCAGGCTCTTCCCTGTCAGGTCTTTCACCTGTCACTTCCAGGGCATGGTACCAAATTTAACAGGAAAGGAGGAATATGCAACAGACCAGACCAGGATTCAAACCAGGGCCCCCTAAATCTCTAGTCAGGTGTTCCACCAACTGAGCTATCTTGCCTCCAGTAAATGAATCTTTCTACCCATCAAAGTTGCAACTATTGCAGAAAAAATAATAAAAATCCCCATATTAACCCCCCCCCCCCCCCCAATCATTTTATTGTTTAAATGTCTCTTTGTGTAGATTGTATGCAAAGTTTTATTAAAATTATAACATAGGGAATCCTAAACACTTCTCTCCTACAGTTTTGATTCGATGTCAATAAAACGATACACAAAAAGACTACAATGTACATTTACAGTGTACCAGTATATACAAGAGATTGGAATACTTTTAGCAAATTAAGGAATTTATTATCCGAGTGGAAAAATCCACCTAAAATGACAATGATAAGTATTGTGAGTAATACATGTATTTGAATAACCTTACCTACTGCCAAGTAAATTGTAAAGCTTATTAAAATCAGAAAAATTCTTGTTGTCTTTGAAACCAGCCAGATTCTAAATATCCAAAGATTTATAAAATTTCTTATAAATCTTGCAGGCATCATTCTTCCTAAAAATAGAGAAATTCAACTAAATTCAAGTAACTTAAAGAAACATACTTTAGCAAAGAATGATTTTTTTTTGCATTTTACAGTGCTACATAAAAAAATCATGTCCAATTTGTACAAAAAATTTAATGAATGTCAACATTAAAATAAGTCTCCCCCTCCCCCCAACTTTCCACATATATCCTCAGTTTATTTCCATGAGATTATGATTGTGTTGGATTGATACATGAATGGCTAGTAGTTTATAAGTACATTGTACTACATGACAGAAATAACTGTAACATGTAAAATTAGTGCATTGTTTTGAGTTAAAAATATTTTCAATTTTCAATGTTGACATATTAAGAAAATATCTATATTTTCATGTTGTTAGTAATGAAGAGGTATATGCATTTTTTTTCACCCATAAAAGTTAAATACTGAAAATTTCTTGGAATGTGCTGAATTGTATATATGAATTAATCAAGGAATGTTTTCAAGTTTTGTGTGAAGTATTGGTGTTTAAATCACAAAGACTTGTCACGTAGGCATATTTTATGAAGCGTTTTACAGCACCACAAATATACGCAGTGTTTGAATTTCTTGCTGCCCAATTATCGTTATATTTTTATTAACATCTCAGTAGCCTCATTGTGATGTCATTTTAACGCAAGTTGCTCTGTGTATATTTATATGCGTGAGTATACACAAAAATGACATTCAAATCAATTTCATAGTTTATTAAGTAGAAAAACACAGCAAATATTATAGTTTCGAAGTAGGTTGTTGGCAATTTTGTTTCTATGACATCACAAACTATTTGGATTTTTGTTATTTTTCAAAAAGAGGACAAAATGGACAACTTTTGTTCAATTTTTACTGCATACCGTAATCTATAGAGCACAAACCTGCTCCATAGCAGTATCCACATATTTGATTTATATTATCATTGTACACATTATATCAAAACACTGAGTTCAGTTGGAGCAGACAGTGAGACATGCGCTCGGTGACTTTTACTCAAAATATCAATGTGATATACACCTTTTTCCCTATAAATAAAGGAAATTTTGAATTTATGTCACTTTTCTGACATCATATCTAACATATGGAGTCATAGCTGATGAAAATATTAATGCTTTGTAGTCTGCAGATATCTCCCTGGTTTAAAACATAATTATAGATTTCTCCGTCATAGTTTGATTTTGGGGGCAAATATTGGTCATTCAGAAATAAAAGCTAAAGATCATGATTTTTTAATTTCATTAAAATTGCTTCATAAATATGTGCATATTTTCTAACATACAGCCTTCAAAATTGTACCTCAGAATTTTGTAACAAGTTATCCCACTGCAAACATTGTATCATTATATGTATCATATTACAGTAAAACTTGTCTAATCTGGACACAGCTGTTTCCAAAGAATTTGGCCAGATTAGACAACATTTTAAATAAATGAATTTACTGAAAAAGCACTCTAAGTTTACATCGTGTAAGGCAAGATTTTGGAATACACCCTAAAACCTTGAAAATAAGCCATGGCTTATTTTAAGTTTTGGTAAGAAAGTAGGGGCTTATTTTCAAAACCGTCTTATTTTCAAATCACGGCTTATTATCAAAACAAAAAACCGGTAAGAGACGAGAGCATAATCATGGCTTATTATCAAAACAATAAATAAATTATAATCGATCGATTGTGGACTTCAACATTTGGCCGAGTATAATACGCATGGCTATCATTCGGACATACTGTAGTATAGCCAATTTCCTATTGTTTACCACTATATTCAAAACCTTAGTAAATTATTGTTAGAACGTAAACTTGTTAAAAATGTTAGATTTATAATCTGTTGATAGTTAAATAATATTTTCTGCACTTTCTTAAATGCTTGCAGACACTTAGGCATATGAGTGTGTACTTTGATGATGTCAGAAGGGGACTAGTATTGCATTTGCAATACACTCAGAATGCTTGCAAATGCAATACTAGTCCCCTTCTGACATCATCATAGTACACTCATATGCCTAAATGTCTGCAAACATTTAAGAAAGTGCAGAAAACCAAGTGGGAGAGACAAAGAGGAAACCTATAGTCCCCATAGGGGACTAAAAACAACAAAATAATGCATAACTGTATATTCCAAGTAGCCACTGTACCTTCAAGCTGTATGGATCTGATATCTGTACATCTTCTCAATAGGCAAAGAACAACACAATACACAATAACCAGGAAATAGAACAGACATTTCCCCTGGAAGATAAGAATTTGAATAAGTGAGCAAACAAGGGTAACTTTCTCCCTCTCAAACCCTTCAATGGAATAATATCTAGCAGCTGTACATCTTAAGATACTGAATCCGAGCTTAAAAAAACTTAGAAAGTTAATCTCTGAATATTTGTTGTTGTTGTTTTTTGCTGAACATTTGGAAAATACATGCAATTATTTTTCTTCAATTTTCTGGATTCTTAATGTTGATAAATTTATTTTTACAATCAAATGGGATTATGAATGAACTTTATCTCTAAAACAAGACTTTACAAAATTCTAATTTGATTTTTTTTTTTAGGAAATGATTCTCTCTTGGTAAGAATATCAAAATATATCTATTAAACAAAAAAAATAATAATAATAAAATAGTGGAAAATTTTCCTTAGTTCTTCATACTAATACAGGTGTGTTCTGTCACACTTACAAGAAGAGGAAAATTCAACATGAGAATGAGCCGAGCTCTCAGAGGAAATGGTTCAATGGTGCCATCTAGAGAAAATGGCTGGGTCTTCTCTTGGATCACAAAGTCCTTTTCCTGTAACAGGAACATGAAATTTGTAAGTTATTCTAATACAAATATTATCAGAAATCACTCAATAATCAACATGTATGGGAAATAAAAAAATCCAATATTTAACAAATGCAACTATCAAAAACACCATGGAAGAGATTGTGCGAGTAAAATGACAATCTGGTACAATTAAACAATCAAGTTATCCAAAAAATGTTATCTGCAGCCCTCTAGTACACTTATAATTATCAGACTTCACATTTTGATGGAAATTCCACCTTCCTGTGATGTCATAGGTTTTAGCAAAAACTGTTATTAAAATAAATTCATACCCAATAGAAAAATATCTTTCAAAAGAAAGTTTTTCAGTGAGTGTAATGAAAAATATTGTATAGTAAAAGAGTAAATGATTGAATATTTTCTTTCCCTGATATTCACAATTCAAACATTTATAAAGTAACAATTATTTTGGAACTTTCAGCATCAGAATTATGTATTTGAACCAGTTTTTACATAATTTTTATAATACTGTTTACTAAAATGTATGATTTTTTTATGCTGACATATACTTCTTGTTTATGTATGTCTTACGTCTTAAAAAATATGGCAACCTATACATTTTTGGTGATTATTAATCAATTTAAGCTATATTCAGTGAAAATAAATGCAGTTTTTCTATTTTGAACCCATAAATTAGTGAGGGTGGATATACCTTAAGCTTTGACCAAAATGGCTCCAAAATAAGACATTTTCCACAATCCTCCACAGAGGAAAATTTGATTGATTGTGTTTACATCTTGCTATAGAACTCCGGATTCATTTTAATTTCTGGAGGTCAATGTTTGTGCATGGGGAAGCAAAATTTTACTGGTTCATGGTAAAGTAATTTTGTGGTAAATTTTTCGATATGGTAGATTCAATTCATTAGTATGCTGACAAGATAATTGTTTGATGGGGATGTACATTCATGGATAAAGGTGACACACAGGATCCACAAACACTGCACCCCCTGGAACAATGATGATTCCACAATATTTGACTTTTGTACCTTCACCACTGCTTTGATGTGGTGTTGACCATTCTTAAAAAGCTCTGGTTTCCATGGTAGTACATATAGTGGTCCTCTGACTTTTTTGGCAATGCCTATTTTCTGGTTGTCAATGTAAACAGTAACACTCAAGTCTTCCGATGGTGAAAACACCAACAGTCTAAAACCATAAAACACAAGAGTTATATTACAGACTGACAGTATACATAGATGCCTATTGAAAGCTTAAATCTGTATAAATACCCAGTAGTTACAGTTTACATTAATCAAGATGTTAATATGCATAAACAGAAATAAAACATTACTGTATAAAACACACGTAAATAAGTACACTCAAATTTCAGCGCAATCATCCTCTCTTCAACTGATTAACGCAATCATAAATTAGCCCACTAGCGTTTTAACAATGAAATGTATTAGTTTTTAATCATATATTAGTATGTACATAAATTAGCTGACAAGAAGCAGCGCAAAACATGCTAAAATACATGTATGATTACTGCTACAATAGGTACGTTTACAGTATTTATTTCAAATTTGCAGACTTTTACTTTCTTTTTTAACCTATAATTTCTTGTATATGTACCTTATATGAGAAGAAGTAACTTTATGTGGAGATGGAAATTTGGCATGTTGTGGGTTAGTAAAGATAACAACCGGTTCTTCATGGAAAACTTGATCTGAGAAAGCCATCACATTGTTGTCTATGGCCACGACCCTGTACCTGCAAGTGAACAAATATGAAAGCTTCAAAAATAAGATCAATAATGGAAACAAGTTGTGAATCCAAGTGATATTCCTTTTTAATGACATAAAAGACTAACACTCTGTTGTCTTTCCAGTCTGCCAGCTCCAGTTCATACATTCCTGTTCTGTGTCGGGTGTACATGTCCGGAATTAATCCTGCCCACGTGTGAAGATGTCCACAAAAGTAAACACTAGCATTCCTTGAAAACAAAAGCAGGAAAAGAGAAACCAATCAAATAATTTTTTTTTAAAAATGGAAGTCTATGAAGAGTCTGTTCCTCTAATGTTTTCAATACATAGAAGTCTACAAAATACTCTTGGATGTGAATCGCCTTTTTTTCCCCTAAAGAATTATTGATCATGGCGTATTATGAACTTTAACCAAAATGAATTCAAAACAAAAATGTCAGATTGGATTTTTGAAAGAATTTAACAGAAAGTTCGTTTTAGTAAATACAGCAACATTATTGAAAAAGAAAACCTAACATGCATAATAATGTATTTTAACTTATTTTCCTTGCATATCACGTTTCATCTAAATTAAACTTAAAATGTAGGAAAATAGCATTTAGAAAAAAGTTCACTTATAATTTTTTATTAATAGCATGGCATTATTCATCAAATCAAGAAGCCATGAATAGAACTAGTCAACCTTTGTTTTATGTTTTATGGAAATCGGATCAAAAATGGAGGAGGAGGAGGAGAGAGGAGAAATATTTTGAAAAAAAAAAATCTGGTATATTATTTATTCCTTTTCTAGTAACCATTGCAACATTGTTCAATGAATTCAAATACAAACAGGAACAATTACGTAGCTTTGTTTAGCCTATTTGAATACATGTACTTCTTATTATCAAAATCAGACCAAAACTGCAGATGTAGTAAAGCATTTTGAAAGCATTTGATAGATCATTCCATTTGAAGTAACCACAGTGATATTGTTACTTGAAATCAAAATTTTCACAAAGAATAATATATCTTGGTTTAGATTTCTAGTTTAAAGTTTCAATGACACTGGACCAAACTCTGAGGTAAATGGTGCAAAATCCTGCATTCTGAGCACTTCCTGGCAATTAGTTTTCACTCTGAAATGTTCTTCTTTTTAAGGAAAAAAAAAATTACAAATGTTACTTTTATCAACGTTTTCTCGTAGTCTATGATACTTCTGTTTATCAATTCACGTCATCTTTATCTGTTATTTCATCGATATCAAATGTTACAACAATCGACATTTCCAATAAAACTTCCAACAACTGGCTGAAAAAATACTTCGAACGACATCTTTAACAATTTTGATTCTCTAGACTTTATTCACATTGTACAAATTTTTGCATCCATTACCACGATCGATGCTTCTAGTAAAACTTCCAATGATTGGTTGAATTTATGTTTCTAAAATCCAAGAACCAATGAAATTGCCTGTTACATTTAATCAATAAAGTAGGGAAAAGTGAGGCAAAAACGGTATGATTGGAAAATATTGAGAAACTTAAAAAAGCGGAATACAAATTTTAAAGTGGATTGAGCAAATGTGAATAGCAGAATTCCGCTTTAAAGTGGAAAAAAAACCATGCCTAATAATACCTCATCAGTTGGCGAACATCAGAATTATCTGCAGTAACGATAAATGAGGTGGGGTAATGTCCAAACCAGAAAGTCATATTACTATTCTTGCTATCTTTGGAGAGCTTCTTTAACAATTTAATCTCTTTCTGAAAAAAAAAATATTCATGCATGTATAAATCAATCACATATACATATATCTAATTATTTTAACAAGGTAGACTGCACAAGAACCATTTGCTAAAATATTAAAAAAGTGTAACATAAGGCCCCAAAAAATTAACTAATAGTTTCTCAGGCCAAAAATTTTAAAATTCAATGCGGCAGGCAGGTTTTTTTTTTTTTTTTTTTTTTTTTTTTTTTTTAGCAAGTGTTGTACCTTTTTCTTCATGTCAGTCATTCAACAAAAGGATGATAACAATTGATTCTTACTTTTTTTGTTCTCTTACATTAATTATAATAAGTATTCAACTTTAAATAATGTTATTCCAAACATTTGTTGAAAATTTAATTCATAAAATACCGAATTAATAAGAAATGTATTGTTTATCTAATAAAAACATCTATTATGAAATGGGGAATAACTCGATTTTCTTTTTCAACTTGGAAAAATAGAAAATTGAGTTATTTCCCTTTCCAATATGTCAATAAAATTGATTAATGCGGCAGTTTTTGACCAAATGCAGCGATGCTTGATAAACCATTGATTAATTTTTTTTTGGCCTAAATCCCTTTATTTTGTCAATTATAATTCTGAATTCTTTTCAATAGTATTAAGGGGATAAATGTTGCCTGCAGGTGACATTTTTACACAAGTGTGAATTATCCCAAACACAAGAACAGACAACAGACAAAGTGGTACCAATGTGACAACCATGCCCAACAGGTGACACAGTACCAGAAGGGGAAGGGTGGAAAGGGGTGGGGTCATACCTCTCTGAGTGATCCACAGAAGTTAAAAGGTCTCCTTGGTCCAGGGTCTGGTGTAGCATCCATGGCAATAAAACTGTAATCTCCAAATTTTGTCTTATGTGTGTATAAATAGGATGTTGGATTTACTCCACCTTGTTCAGAGTATGTTCTAAACAAAATGTATACAGTAAAACTTAGTCATAGCAAAGTCCACGCTATATCCATAATTCATTATAGCCATATAACAAAATTTGTTAAAGTATATATAGCAAATTTGCAAGATACATACTTTCCTTCAAGTATGACTATCTAATTCAAGGGCCAGGTGAGCTCAAGTGAGCTACAAAAAACTCTAGTTCAAGATTTTTTCAAGTAATTCAAATATTGGAATTTCAATAAATTAGAATAATTCTAACCTGAAAAGATTTTTCCTATCATCCATATCTGGTACATTGAAAGCATCTACAATGGAAATTATTACTATCATAATACGTTTTATTCACCATTAAAATAAATCTAACTTGAAACTCTTCAGCCTTAAGAAGGTTTCAAGGAGATAAAACAAACCATACAAACTAATTCAGGTAAGAACTGCGAACGATAGTATTGTTCTCCCGCCTACTTCCAAGTCAATTTTCAAAAGTTAACATATTTGAATGATTTTTTATATTTATAAATACTTAAATGAATTTTTATAAAAAGTTACTTATTTGGGAAAACAAAGAGAGATATCTCTATAATTTTGGTAAAACTTGTGTTTTTCACTATAGAAATCAACGGAAAATGGAAAATATTTTGAAAACATCACTATTTTTATAAAATGCAGATGGAGAAAGAACTAAAAATTAAACTTGAATTTTTGACTTTTGGCCTTAAAGTCAATAAGGGTCTTTCTTAAGTTAAAGACATTCATGACCTTAAGTTTCATTGCAAAAGCTTACAGAGAACATAAGTTATCATCTAAAAACTATGTATGCAATATATTAATTTCTGACCTTGAGCTTTGACTTTTTAACCTCAATATCAATATGGGTCTTTTTTAAAGTCACTGGGAGTTATGATATAAAATTTCATTTAAAAAACTCAAAGAAAACTGTTTATTATTTGCAATATCTGAATTTCTGACCATGAGCTTTTGACCTGAAAATCAACAGGTGTCTTCTTTAGGCCATTGGGAAATATAAAAAAAAATTCACTGTAAAAGCTTAAAGGCTTTTTGAAATATTGTCTGGAATCAAAAGTATTACACACAGACAAAATGACAGACAGACAGACCTAAGTTAATATTAATCCCCACTTTCAGCAAAAGCGAGGGACAAAAAAAATTTACCCAGTATATAGGGGTACTAGTAATTCAAAGAGTATATTAGGATATTACTTACCATGATTGCCCCTTAAATCAAGCCACTTAACATCATTATTGTACTTTTGACATAGAGTAACAACTTCCCCATAACCTTTCCATTCTTCTATAAACTGTGCTGAACCTCTTTCATTTCTATATTTGGCATCTGTAAGATCTCCTGTAATGGTTAACCATCCAAAGTCACAAAAGATCTCATATGTCATCAGAAATTACAAGGTTTCTATGAATATGATAACTTTTAACAAATTGATAAAATTGACAGAATTGCTAAACTTCCCTTTTTTACCTGTTACAATAATTAGCTCCGGTGCTATTCTAGGAAGATGATGACGACAAAATTTAATTAAATCTTCAGGTCTTTTAGGATCTTTGAACTTACTAACATGGATATCTGTTAGCTTTAAAGAAAACAAATAAATTGTTAATGCATATATTCACTGCATTCAACTTGAACCAAATAAATACTTGGAGTAGTTTTTTTTATATTAATACATGTACTCCCTTCTGTGTGAATATACTTTGTTTTTCTACAAAATCAGCATGAAGGTCAAAATGGTTTAGCAATTGATTTGATGTGGCTCTTTATTCTACAATAATCAGGATGTAATAATGTTAATATGTGATATTAAAATTTATATTTAAGAGATAATATGTACTGTATAGATACTGTATGAAGTAGGGTGAAATGATACACCTCCATCACAATACAATACATATCGCAAAGTTGTTTTTATCAATTATGTCTTAAATTGTTTCAATATAAGCAATAACTTAATTTTAGTGCATGTTGACTAGATTAAATTGAGTAGAATTAATTGACAGTTAATGATTATTCTACAAACTATTAGTCTTCATGAATAATGATTTTAAAATTTAATCATGGTTTGGCATGTTTTTATGACTGACAAACCTGATTGAATAATGATCCCAATCAAAAAGAGAAGCAAACTGAAAATGGAGATTTTTTACAGTGTACAAACAACACAAAATACTGCAAAGAATTGATGCCATGGTGAACCATTTTGTTCCTAGTACTAAGACACCTTGCAGCCATTTGATATTGGAATAAAATTTATCAAATTTTGTCAGAAAACTGTCCTGATAAGAAGAATCTGGATATTATTCAACATTATAGATCAGGAATTTCAACCTTTAAGCTGCAGGACCAATTTCTACCACACCTTTGTGATGTCATATTGTGACTCTGTTGCATCATCATTGCAGATGGGGTAAAATGGGCCAGGGTACATTGAATACACAGCACATGTATATTGCCATCAGATACCATAAATTTTTGCCTCTGCTGGAATACACATTTTGGCAATAGCAGATTAATATATAATAAAGCCTCTGTACTGTTTGGATTTTACATATAATCTGATAATTCCGTCCTAAAATATCAACACCCCCCCCTAGGCCCCTCCCCCCCAAAGAAAGAAATGTATGACGTCGGTGTATAAGCCAATATACAAATTCTTGGTTGAGTATTTACTTCTTGGTTGTTTCATACTTTCAAGCTGTATACGAAGCGAGATTTGTTTTTCACAACATGACTCAAACCCAAATTTAGAAAATTACCTGCACAAACCACCAGAGATTTAAGTCATCTTCATTAAAATGAATGTGGTTGATTTCTCTTGGATTTGGGGTATTATCCACATGTTCTGTATTTACTATATTTTCTATAAACCCAATAAAAATACAGAAACTCGCGATAAACATCAAACTGACAGCAAAAAGTTTCATTGCAGACAACGCAACTGTCTGTTCACCGACAAAACGCAACAGGAAGTGAATACTTTTCTTAACTTCTCTGCAGAAGAGTTCTAAAGAAAAATGAAACTGGAAATCCGAATGGAATTGGTAAAAGGAAGAAAATGTAGCATATGGTATTGGTAGAAGGAATTAATAGTAAACAATGACAGATTCGACTTCAAAAGGTAAACATGTATAATCTAAAGGCTATATGTAAATTGTTTAGATTGTATAATGTTTGTAATCAACTGTACTTCCTAATCATATCACCTGAAATTCAGGTGCCTGTGATTTAACATTTGCTGGATTAAGAATTTCATAGATATACATGTATTGTTAAAAAGTGATAGATAAACTGCAAGATTCAATAGTGTGAAAAACTGCCACAATGTGTTTACAACAATCGGAGTTTGGCATGCGGCACAATACACTAATACAATAATTGTGAAATAATTGTGAAATATCTTATAATAACATATCTCTATTTAAAAAAAAATAGAAATAGGTACAAGAAAAGGTTTTTATTGGATAAACTGTATGACAGTTTTAGGAAGTTTTTGATTCTATATGTTCTGGACAAATCCTGACATCTAAAATCTCTGATTTTAGAAGACACCTGAATTTTCTCGCTAACAACGACGCTTCCAGGCAAGAGTCCGCAGACACACAGTTTTTAGCAACATTGCATCCCAAATAATTTTGCTGTGTATATTAAGCAGATTCTTGTGTGAATTCTTTAAATATAGTGAGAACCCTGTGCTTCTTGGTACTTAGCAGACAAACTAATTGCATGGTTATGTTGAGCAAGGGTGCCTCTTCCAAAATTATGAAATTATTAGCCCCAGGGTCAGTGATTCATTTTGATGTGCGTCCTGCGTAAATTACGCACAAATTTTGCCCAGGACGCATTATTTCAATAAATGTGCATCCCAATGGACGCAATAAATTTATAGAAGGACATGTACTATTTTAAATTATTTCGGTATAATCTGATTCAAAACTTGACCGATTGCATCATATCCACGTGCTAAACGATATGCATGAACGATTTTAACAGGTAGGTCTACAAGGTTGCCAACAACTGATCAGATTTCACAACTCAAGTTAAAAGCAATTGTCAGAAAATATTTGAAAGTTAGATAGCATAGTTCGATTATCACTGATTATGTCTATACAGTGGAATTTTTCTGAAGCAAATACTATACATTTGTACCTTAGTATTTAAGCTGTAACCTGTATCATTGTTTTTTTTTTCTTTTCGTTTTTTCCTTACAAGCTAAGAAGTATAAAATTTAATCATTTTTATTTCTGACTATTTGTCATTTCTTCTTAAATTTTTTTTTTTACCTCTTTCTGCTTCTGTGCATTTTATGACTGATACAATGTGTGAGATCGTATGTACGATCTAAAAATAGAACCAAAGTGCACAGTGGACAATATATTATTTTTATGACACAAAATCATGTACTCTTACTTGGACAATTGATAGTAAAAGTATAAATCACTCACAGCTACAATAAAACATTTGCACTTTCGTGCAATACACTTTTTTTTATTTCACCAGAATTTCCTCTGTAACATCTAATATACGGTCCCCTTGGATTTGGACGCATTGATTTTGGCAGGGGACTCATTGTTGTCATTAAGAGGGGTCCTTTGGACCCATGATAACCATTTTCAAAATGAATCACTGCAGGGTCAAGGGTTTTGGTGTAAGAACTGGGCTCTATTAAATATATAGGGAAAATGCATTATATCTTTGAAAATCTCCTCTGCTTTTGGATATTAAGCAAACAAACTAAGTGCATAGTTATGAAGAGCAAGGACGCCTCTTGTAAAATTGTGAACTTCAAGGCCTCTGGAATAGGGGTTCCGGTGTTAGGGTAGGGCCTTATTGATTGTATAGTGAAAATGCACTAATTCTTTGAAAACCTTCTTTACTGCTCCTGAGCATACAGCAGATAAAATAAGTGCATAGTTATGATGAGCAAGTGTGCTTCTTCCAAAATTGTGAATTTCATGGCCCTTAGGTTAGGGATTCTGATGTCAAGACAGGGCTGTGTTGAAGGCATATGAATGAAAATGCATTATTTCTTCTAAAATCTTTTGCTCTGCTCTGGGGCATCTAGAAGGCAAACAGAGTACAAAGCTTTAATATGCAAGGGTAATTCTACCAGATTTGTGAATTGCTGGATCCTCGATCATATGTTCTGGTGCTGGGCAGGGATCTCTACTGAGAGAAGTTATTTCCCATTCACTATAATAATTAATCACTGGAAATAATGTAATGGAAAGTTCAATTGAATAAGAGATTTATACAAGAATTTTTATAATATATAATTCAGAAAGTTTTTAATGCTTAGGTAGACCTATAAAAAATAAAACTGAAACAAAAATACTGTTGTTGTACATTTAATGTTTTTCAAAGAGCTAGAGAGGCCAGTGTGAAAAGGAATGAGTTAACTAACAGTGCTTAAGCACTACAATTTGAATCCATTTACATGATGGTAGTGAGATTAAAGGGGGAGATACAGGCAATTAAATTGAACTTTTAAAAAAGATATGTTACAAAGTACTAGACTAATTATTTTGTTGATCCCTTATCATCCTATTTCTCTTGCTTTTGAGTAACATAGCTTCATCTATCAGTTTATTTTGTTTTATTTGATACTTCTATGGATCCTTTGCAGTGTTGTATTATATTCAGGTGACTGTTAAGGCCCTTGTCCCTCTTGTTTTATGTCATTCTGTTGAAATTTACAACTTTCACTATTAAGCAAACAAACCAAGTGTATAGTTATCACGAGCAAGGGCCTCCTCCAAAATTCAGATTCTTTTGAAGAACATTGGAGAACAAATTATAATGAAGTACATTGATGGGTGAACAAGATGCAATAAACATAGGCACCAAAGAAAAATCTGTACTTGTCCATTTAAATGAATTTATAATATTATTTTTTGGTAAATAAAATACCAAACTGCCTTTTCCATTGATATCTTGATATTCCTAGTCATCAATTTATGACCTTAACAATATGTCCTTGAATAAAAATAATAACAAATATAATCTAGTGTGTAGAAGTTCAGGCCATCAGGGGCATAGGAAAGTAATTATTATTGTGCAGGTGAATATTTTTAGGGAAATGGGGGAGAAGGTTTCGACCTGCTTTGGCAATCATGCACACCTCCCCTTAAAAAGAAAGGATGGAAATACACATTGTATCATTTTTGAAACATTCTAAAGAAGGGTTTCATGGCCCAGACATGATTTAAATATCTCTTCACTCAACAACCTTCACCTTTTTAATATGGTGATGATTCATTATCAACATTTATAAAAATAAACCTCAACCCAGTAGCAGCATGAAAGAACTTGGCTCGTGGTCAAGCATAATTGTTTTCAAAACATCCAGTCTCAGGACATCAAGTAGCACAGGTAGCTAGCCTGTCAATCAAATCTATCATCGAGAACCAACAGTCAGCTTCACTTTTTCTTACCTAAGAAGCAAGACAGACCGTGGGTTTCCGATGATGATCATATCAGTAGCTATTGTTTCTAACAAATGAATTACAAGCAGTAATAGGTAATTTTTTGTAGGAGAGTTAATGTAAACTTGGGGCTTTAAATTTGAGTCCATTCCAGTCAGGGATTCGTTATGGTGTAGATACAGATTTTTGACAAGTAGACAATCATGTAAATGAGGAATGTTTCTCCTTTTTTTTTTGGGGGGGGGGGGTTTATATTGTCATCGACAATCCCTTTATTCTTTTTAAAAAATATCAGCGTTATGTTTCTATCAATTTGGTACCAAAAATATTAGAATTCATTTCCTGCATATATATACACTAAAGACAAGACTAAATTTCTAAACCATCAATGCCTAAATTGGTTTCTCTCACCCTGCCTGTCTCCTTTGAAACAGTTTATATGATAAAATTGAAAGATATCTGTTTTCTTTCAAGATTTTCAATTAACTCCAAGATCTGGCTCATTAGGTATTGCATTATAGTCAACTGCATTTTGTACAATCATGTTTTGAGACTTGTGACCAGAATGCATGAACAAATTCATATTTAGGTGGCTATTTAACATAAAATGGGAAAGGGTATATAAAAATGAATTAAGTACAATGTACTGGTTAAAGTTAGGCCTGAGTTACTGAATACATTTAGGCCTGCAGGGGTAGCAGAATTTTTTCAAGAATTCTGATTCTGGTCTTGTTATCAAAACAGTTTTAAGTTATTGTTTTTTAAATTTTGTATATATTTTTTAGTTACAGTAGAAAGATGTCCAGGACTTTATTGTGGGAGAATTTCCTTAGGCAATAATAACTACAGTGAATGTGGGGTAAGTGCAAGTAATTTAGTTCAGCTAAATTTAGATTGTTAGATTTGTCCTGGTTTTCAGAATGTTTGGAAGTGGGACATCACTTTTGTATTGTCTGCATATAAGGAGAGCAACACTTAAAGCGACAGTACGGCTGCAAAATGTGTGCTTTTTCATCCAAATTTACGCAATATGTCATTAAGAAATAAGGTATAAAGTTGATGTAAGCAGTTTGAGAAACAGAAATATTCTCTACTCAAACAAAATTAACATAATTAGAATCTGCCGGAAAATCAAGGGTCGTACGAACTGGAGCAAGTTTAGATCTGTTTATTTGTACCACGTGAATTCTAAAACGGCACGTGCCTGCACTGTAGAGTTTACAGTTATAATGAATATTAGGTGAAAGCAATTTTCAAAAACACAAATTATCATAACTCTCTGATAAAATAATCTAAAATAATAATCGTAAAGATTTTAGTCTGCATTCAGGCGAATTTAACAGAATTAAAAGTACAAATGTTTACGTTTTGTGTATTGGGGTCCGAGAAAGGAAAAACCAACTAATCATACGTTATCGCGGCAAATGTCAAACTAAATATTTTTCTGCACAGTTAAAAAAAATTAGCATTTCAAATGGCAACAATGTTTATAAGTCAAAGATGTATTTTTTATGTTGAGTTTACACTATTTTTTTTCTTTGAAAGCGACGGAAAAATGAGAAATGATAACAAGTATCAACAAACCTGTCGAATAGAACCTTCGAGAGCCCTGCGTGAGTGTCGCCGAGTTCCTGTTTCTTCCTTTTCCAGCGATTTTATTAATCCCCAAACTAAATTTTAGTCAGGAAAGTTGCTTTTTCAAGTTCTATTTTCAGTTTCTTTTTCTTTTTGGTCGACTTTGTCAAAGTAGTAGGCCTACCGGGATTCCCTCTCTAACCATGCTGTTTTGTTTATGAAAACTACGCATGCGTGCATAGCATGGAATGTGGAACCCCGAACACGTTGCGATGTATATATTTACGTCCCATAAATAACTATTAATTTTAATGAAATAATCCAAATTATTTAATTGTAAAAGTTGTAATTTTCTGAAAGTTTATACATTTATGAGTTGTAAAAAAATTCCAAATCTTGTGGGAAAATTTTATCTAGTCAGTTTTTTGATGAGATGCGCCGTACTGTCACTTTAAAGATAACTTCATCCAGCAATAACATTACTTTAATTTGCTTTAGAAATCACCCATTTTTTTGTGAAACTGTATGGCTCTGTATTGTGGTCACAGTTTACTAGGGCTAGGATGATACACTTTCTTCTAAATTGATACATATCATGATATTGATACGTTTCACAATATTTTTAATCAAATTTTTTGTATTGAAATTAACAAATTATATTTTTTCACAATTAAGAAGCTGTATATCTGTTGTAAAGCTAAATTATTGAACAAAAGTGGTGTTAATTATTTCATATCAAACTTTATTATTTAAATATCTATATTTTAAAACCCAAATGCTTAGTACATTAAAGAAACAATGGCTGAATTTTTTTTTCTCGTATCATTATTTTTACATATGTATTGATAATTATGTATCATCCTCACACAATATCAATATTATTGTTATTCAATATATTATCCCAGCCCTATGGTTTACAATGATTTTACAATTAACAATTAAGTTTACAATTAACTAATGAGAGATATAATAGAGAAATCCTAAATTTCAGCTTCTGTAAGCTACATGTATTATCAATTTAGGATAGATAAATGTAGTTGATCATATATAAAACACAGTGTGTCACTTATGGAATTTATGTTTAAAATTTCTTTGATTGACGAAAAAAATATCTTCAGAAAAAATGTTGTCCCATGAAATGAATAAAAAAAAAAACTCATTTTATTCTATAGGCATGTCCCAGAGGCTACCAGCCGAATGAAGAAAGCATATGTTTGGCTTGTGATTCTGAGCCAACATTTTATGATTGGATGTATCTGGCCTTTATGGCTCTTTTGTCTCTAGTTCTGCACTGGTTTTTTATTGATCATACCAATAGAAAGAAGACAACAAAGTGAGTATTGGTTGTTTTTCACACAGACATGACATTGAAGCAGATCTAAGAAAAACGTGACAAAATTAACAGAAAAAAAACATAGGGTGCTCAATGGTTAACGGCATGGTCAAAGCTTCAATTAAGAACACTTTGTACAGTAAAACATGGTTATAGCAAACATGCACCCTTATATCGAGTTTATGCTTACAGCGAAGTGATTTTCATTCCCTGTAGTTTTAAAAGGTGTTGTGAAAACTGAACAGATATAACAATTCACATTTATAACGAATCAAAATTATTGACCCCTGGCACTTCGCTATAAGCATATTTTACTGTATATAGAAGGTCACTATTTTTCCTCTTTGTAATCTCAATTTAATTTATTAAAATTACATCAATGATTACCTGTGTGTATTTTGAACTACATATGTAACAAAACAGATTTTTATTAGAGAATTTCAAGTATGACAAAAAATTTTTAAAAAAATTTAGCAGTTGGGCTTAAGCAGATGTCAAAAATTTACAGGTGTGCATTCAAGCTCTCAGTGCCATATAGAGCTATAACCTTGTACAATATGCTTTCCTAAGCACTGTGTAGGGATAATAGCATTAATTCAAGAGTATGTTCAGTAGACGTAGATTTTTAGCTTAGGAGCATGCAAGGCTAGCTGCTAAAATCTTGAATATAATCCAGTGCTCAGCATATTTAATTTTTTTTTTTTTGCTATAGATCCCTAATCTCACTCCACATATCAGCTTTACTGGAGAGTGTTATTGCAGCCATTTTGACCCTGTTACTGGTTGAACCTTATGGATCGTTAACAATCCGGTCCTGTCCTGTTAGTAAGCTCTCGGACTGGTACTCCATGCTGCTCAATCCGCAGCCCAACTACACCAAAACACTGTACTGTACACAGGAAATTGTGTACCCACTGTAAGTTGATACTGTTAGATTTAGCGATTTATTTTAACTGTACAACTATTTGTATTGTAAACAAGAAAATGTTACCCAGTTTACAACGTTGTACTGTACACAGTCCACACACTGGACACTACTGGTTTCATAGAAATTTGCTGGATTAGACATTTTGGATTAGATAACGTTTTTAACAATAACATTTTTAACAATAGAATTTTCTAAAGGGAACCTTAGATTTTTATTGATCATAATAGGCAAGATTTTGATATAAACAAAATCCATGTTAGACATGTTTTACTGTATAACCGCTGTAAGTTAATGCTGTTAAAGCATGTCATTTGATCTGATGATTCAGACTTGTCAACTCAATGACCTTCAAATAAAGTCATTGTTATAATAATGTATATATATCCAATTGATATAAGACTGCAATTCATGGGGACAAAAAAAAAAATTCGTTAAAAGATAAAAAATTTGAACGTAAGAATATTTTTTCTGATCAGGAATTAATGATAAAAAGATTGATGCACATACTCAGTACAGATAAGATAATTCCTTGTTTGTTTTGATCACCGAGATTAAAAAAACGTCAGTGGATTAGCTAGCTTACAGTAGTATTCACGTCAGAATTGGATCATAACAAACGTAATTCATTCAGGCGTATGAGAAATATCCCAGTTGTAAACATTCCTTGTTTACATTTTTTTTCATCACACTCTGCATTTGTGTGGACAGCAAAGTAAATGACGTATGTTAACAGTTTTCAGTACTGAAAGCTTTGTCACATGAAGCTGTGGAGATAGGCTCTATAATCCAACTAGACATGATCATAATTACTTGTAAAAAAAAAAATGTTGTCGTGAGACCCAAGGTGTGTCTATCACAATTTGATACGTATAGACATGTTAGTAATAATGTTTATCTTTTTCAGATACACAATAGTTATGATATATTATGCCTTCTCACTTCTCCTAATGATGTTGGCTCGTCCGATGATATCGTACAAGTTTACGGAGAAGAAAGGGACGAAGTCCATTTATGCCGCTTTATACTTTCACCCAGTCTTAATTATCTTACAAGCCATGCTAAGTGGCCTTCTTTGTAAGTGATGTGATTTTTTTTGTTTAATTTTGTTTAAAATGATGACTCGTATGTTTAAAATACATTATTTATTATTAATAATCATAATTATTATTAGAAGTATGTCTTGCCTTGTGTGTTAATGAGAGTGGCATACATGCTATAGCTTCCTGTAAAGTCATAATAAAGTTATTGCAAATGTGGAAGAAATAGAGGAATTCTGTAATATAATTTTTTGAGGAATAATTCTGTTATTGTTTAATGGCCTTCGTTTTCAAAATCAAAGTGTAACAAATCCTCTCAAAGGCTCGACTGCTCTGAATTCTTTTACAAACTCTTGATTTGATATTGTTATATCCATGGAATAATGAACCGCTAGAGTACATACCCCGGTACTTAATCAAAATTTACATTCACCATACTATCTTGAGAATTGCTGGTAAATTAAATTTCATTCCATCACTAGATTTCACATTAATTGCTTTGTACACTTTCTAAATGAAAGTTGCTGAAGGCAATTCCCCATTCACTGGACCAGTATGAAATTTTCGTTTTCTGTACCTGAACACTTTGCATGTCATTAAATGCATTAATAAATCAATTTCATATAGTCCAAATACATCAGCATTATTTTACTTGTATCTGGGGTCTCATATTAATGTGTACATGTACAATCAAGAAGAATTCTCCTTTGAAAAAACAAAAAACCAAAAAAAAAAAACACCCACACATACAAATTATTGAATTTTAGGGATAAGCATTTCCCCTTAATTTCATTTTGTAGACAGAATGTCATATAAAATCACTGTAGTTAAACACTTCCATCTACTCTTTATATTCACAAATATAATAATAAAACATATAGAAATATTTACCTTGAATCAGAATAATCATAATTTATCATAGATTTTTTTTTTTTTTTTTTTTTTTTTTTTTTTTTGGTGCCATTATTTTTTTCCCTGTTAAGGGATCAGGTGCAATTTTATGGCAGGTTATATAGACTGCTGACAGAGTGTAGATAGGCAATCTCAGTAAAGTTAATTAAGGATTTCTTGTTTTTTCAGACTATTCATTCTCCTACCTAGTCATAGCAGCCTCTCTGATCACTGGTGTCATTCATTTATCTGGATGTGATTTGGTAAGTTCATTAGTATAAAATCACAGGTATAAAATGGATGACGTCAGCCGCCTGACAACATCTGGTCTGAGGTACATTATACAGGTTTATGAGGACACTAATGAGTTCTAGTAATTTACATCTTGATCTGGCTCAAGTTTTGAAGTATTTATTGATCATTTATATCCATATACTATAGGTTTTCCTCCATGCAGAGGGTTATATATTTAGTTGCAAGTAATTAATTTTGCACTTATTCTCTTTAACATAATTATTCCCGAAGTGAAAATATGCACTCTGGATAGCACAAATTGCAAAAATCCATCAAACAGGTCCTTAGATTTAAAAGGAATGATAAAAAGAATTTATTTAATATTTGTCTCAATTCAGACTGTTTCCTTTCAACAGATAAATTAAAGACACAATAAATTAATGGAAAAAATAATTTCTATGATATTGAAGTTGCAAAAACACAGTTGAAAAGTGAATAATTTTATGCTGTTGAAGATTTGCACATATAATATAATCAATTGAAAATTTGAGGAAGCTTAGAATTTTGTAGATATTCAGATCTCAACTCAATCTTTTTTTTTTAATCAAAGATAAAATAAATGAGTAAATCAACTTGTCTATCCTTAATAGCTGATACAAAAAATTAAATATATTGTAAAAAAAATATATCTAAGAATCAGAAAGCTCTCAAAATGTATCAGTGAATGATAGCTAAAATCTAAAATATGTTATCACTTCATTCTTGAAATTCTCAGGGGATTGGGGAATCCATATTCAAAAATATTCAACTCAAAAATTTCCTGACAAGCACAATGAGACTGTTACAGTAGTTCTTCTGGTTTGTGTATAACAAAGGGGGAGGAAAGTAGCGATTTGATTTGAAACTATGGCAATGCCAATAAATAGAATGATAACTTGGTTTAGTCTTTGTGTGGGGCAAGTTTTATTGAAATTTGACTAATACTGTATGAGGAGTAGCCTTTTGCAACAACATTTGTCAAATCAGAAGTCAATACACACAATTATACTTATCTTAGTGAAGTCTACTTGTGTATCAATTTTTTTTTAAATCAGACCAAAAACTGTGGGAGGAGTAGCATTTAAAAAGAATTACACAGAAATTTCTATTTTAGTAACCATGACAACATGACTCAAAGACATCAAAAACCGATATACAAAATTATGTATGTTAGTGTAGTCTTCTAATGTCTTAAGTTTTATTGAAATCAGACAAAACTGTAGGAGGAGTGGCATTTTGAAAGAAAAAAATCACAGAAATTTTTTTTAGTAACATATTTGGGAATATATACTCCCAGAAATCAAAAACTCTTAGGGCAGGATTTCTCTTAAGTACATGCAATCAATATATATATATATATATATATATATATATATATATATATATATATATATATATATATATATATATATCTATCTATCTACCTATCTATCTATCACATGATGCACATGCATGTACACACACACACATGAAAGAAAATTAATGATATTAAATGATGTCACCATTACATGTATGCATAATTGTTGTACCCTAACATTTAGAGGTAAGCTGATACATTATGGATGAATTAGTGATTTAGCTAACAATATGACATCAGCCGTTTAAGGTTACTAGCTCGTAGAAATCATCTGTATGACATTGACAGTAGCAGTAATTGGAGAAAAGAATTATATAAGATTTATGATTGAACACAAAGATTTATGTTTTTTCCTTTCATGTCCATATTTATCAGTGCTGCAAATTTTTATTCCATTATCTTAATATTACTGAAATTTCAGAATTGCAGGGTTTCTTTCTTTTTGTACTAATGAATTCTCAAAAAATACTAGTACTTATTGTTTTCTATATATTCCAAAGAAATACTGGCATGTCCATGAAATACATAATACATTGAAACCCCACTGGAACCTTTACTATGTACTAAAGATTGCTAATATATTGAATTTGTTTGTTCCTTGAAAATGATCAGTGCCGTTGATGAAGACATATTTTCTTTAGGATTTCAAGGACTTTAAAAATATAATTAATACAAAATTGTGTTGCATAATCTTCATTAGGGTTATACTGGTTGGCTACTAGATTCTAGACACTTTATCTCTTTGCCTTGAGTGTGCAAAAATTGTTCAAACTCATGATTTTGAACAAAAAAAGTAAATTAAGTTGGGGGGGGGGGGGGGGCTTATGTAATGCCCTAGCTTGGCATTGGCATCCTAGGTTAAAGTTTTTGGAGCAGATTTTTTTTTCAAGTACTTCTATGCTCTATATTAATCACAGATGCATGGACAGTGCTTCTAGTATGTTTCATTGTACCAGTCAAGGTGTCAGATGCTGCATTTTCAGATGAAGAAGGACCAGGTTAAAGTTTTTGGAGCAGGTTTAAGTTTTTGGAGCAGGTCTCATTTCCAAGTAACTATAAGCACTATATTGTCCACACTTGCGTGGATGATACATCTAAGGATGCACACTAAGGCTTGCTTTGGATGCTGGATCTGACATACATTTTCCAGATGAGTGACCAGGTTAAAGTTTTTGTGGCAGATCTCATTTCTAAGTAACTATAGAATATAGAATATGTTTATTCACCAATCAAGGGCCCTCAGGGGGCATATACAATTATTTCAGAATGATTACATATAAATAATATTAAAGTATATTGTAATATGAAAGAATATAAATCATATCTATCATGAGGGTAAGCCCTATATTGACTAAACTTGCATGGATGATACACCTAAAGATGCATACTACCAGGCTTGCTTCGAAATTGCTTTGGATTCTGGATCTGACCTACATTTTCCAGATGAGTGACCAGGTTAAAGTTTTTGGAGCAGGTCCATTACCAAGAAACTATAAGGCCTATCTGAATCAAATTTGCATGGATGATGCATCAAGGGATGAACAATCACAAACTTGCTTCAGATGCTGGATTTGACTTACATTTTCTGAATGAGTGACTAGCTTAAAGTTTTCAGTTAAGTTCATTCCCAAGTAACCACATCAGGCCAAAATTGCATAAATATTGCATCTAGGGATGCACACTACTAGAATATTAATTTAGTGTGGGATTTTTCCCTACTTAAAGACGACATTAGTTGAGGTGAGCTCTGTAATCTCTGATTACCTATATTAATATCTTCTTCACTCCTAGACATCAGTATGATTATGACGAGCATTTAAGAATCCTCTACTAAAATTGTGGAATTCATGACTCTTTGGTCAAAGTCTAAGCTCCAGACTGGGCTTGTAGATATTTTATGTTTGTTGGCCCCCCGCTTTCACTGAAAGTGGGGGATATTAATTTGGGTATGTCCATCTGTCGGTCATTCCATCTGTGTGTATCACTTTTGTGTCCAGATGATATATCTCAAATAGCCATTCAGCTTTTGCAATATAATTTTATATCACAACTCCCTTTGGCCCAAATAAGACCCATACTGATTTTGATGTCAAAAGGTCAAGGTCAGATATTCATATTGCAAATAAGTTTCTAGATACAATGTAATAACTTAGTTTTCTTTGAGCTTTTCTCAATTTCACAGAAATTTCTATTCTTAGTATATAGCAACTCAGTTCGTCAAAGTAAGAAATCAATATATAGAATTTTGAATCTTAATATAATCTACTGACGTACAAGTTTTATTGAAATCAGACCAAAAGTTAAAACTGTAGGAGTAGCATATTGAAATAATTGTTCAAATGGCCACCTTACTTTTCTATCACACATGCTCTTGTCTCTGATCATAAGAGCTATAGTTCTCTGTTGATTGAAAACTGTGTCATACTGCTTAGTAATTTTAAGTTTTATCCAATCTGACTTATAACAGTTCATGATTTATAAAAATTGAATGTTTAATAATTTCTTATTTCGATTTCATTTGATTTTTCTTTTTAGTCATCATACTCTTCAGTGACCAAAGACATTTTCCTGAATGGCCGGAATCTGACAATTCTGGTGGGTCATTGGTTCCTTCATGCATTTGGCATCATCTCACTAACTCAGCTGACACAACTCGAGATCCACCTCCCAATTTTGGCCCTGGTTCCCTTTCCAACTATCTTTTTTATTTTTACTATCCAATTCTCTCACCCATCTCACCTTGAGGACGTCAATTGAAGGTCACTGTGACAGGATAAATATCTGGATAAAGATGCCAGCATGTCGAATTGTGTGGAAGAAAATATTGTGATCCACCAGTGTGTGGATATGGAGAACATTTGGTTTTATGAATGATCCATTGGGATAAGAAGTGGTGTGTGGATTGGTTAAAAAAATGTTTTTATTTTACAATAAGTGAATATGCACAGGGATAAGCATGCAGGCAGATATATGAATTATACTTTAAATTAAAAAAAGGGGGATTTTAAAAATGAATAAGTGAGAAATAAGTCTGTTCGATTAAGAAGGTGATCATTGACTTTACTCAGAATGCACTGTACTCACAAAAGGTCATCTCAAAATACAGTTATGATTGCTTTGTACTATGTATTATGTAAAATTATTCAATAAATATTTATGCCAGATATACATGTATCACATTATTTTTATCTCAAAGCAGGTTATTTTTTAACTAATTAGTTATTCTATATTTAGTGCATGTATCACTGATTGTGGTACTAGTATATTGTCCTAAAGAAAGAAATATAGATTTTCTAAACACAACCTAAGCTAATAAAGGCAATGAAGAACAAGCATTACTTTTGCTTTCTGTAAATACAATCATAAATATAGATCTTGTGGCTAATTGTATTCATGAATACTTAATTATTCTTACAGAGACCGACAGTTCATATAAGAGGTTAACCTTTTTGTTTTGAGGTCAGATAAATTTATATTTCTATTTTCAAATCAATGTCTTGTTGCAAAATTTTCTTTTATTTATTGAAAAATAATTTACAACATTTTAAGTATTTATTTTTATACATTAACCCTTGATATAAATTGAGGTTTGTTAATTTTTAGCTCTTCTGAGCCAAAGGCTCAAAGACCTAATACATTTGTGTGGTGTGCGTAAACTTTTTAGAATATGGGCCATAACTCAAGAACCTCTTGGCCAATTATTGTCAAATTTGTCACAGGGTATCCTTGGCCCAAGGGCTCCCATTATACTAAAACTATGGTTGTAACCCTTAAACAAGGGGAGATAATTTGGTAAATAAAACCAAAAGTACTGGTTGCTAAAAAATCTTCTTCTCAAGAACCACTGGGCAGATTATCACCAAACTTACACAAAAGGATGAGGATATGTTGTAGATCAAAATTTGCATGGGGAATTGCCCTTGGGCAAAGGGCGTGGTCTCAAGGTCACTTCAAAATTGACCAAAAATTACATTTTATTAAAATGTGGATATTCTGCTTGCTATAAGGACTAGAATCATCAAATCTTGTCAGTTGATGCATCTAAGGACCTCATATCACGTTGACTCAAAAGTAGGTCACATTGACCTACTTTTTGAATTTTGCAGCCATTTCTTTTTCAAAATGATTTAAAGGCATATTTTGAACAATTTAAGGCCTGTGATCATCAAACTTTGTCAGTTGATGCATCTTGGGTCCTCATAGTACGTCAACTAAAAAGTAGGTCACCTTGACCTACTTTTTTGAATCTTATGGCTAATCTTTTTCAAAACATCTAAGGTCATTAATTCGAATACTGAGAGGTTTAGAATCATTAAATCTTGTAAGATGATGCATCTTGAGGCCATAAAACATATTTATTAAAAAGTAGGTCAATGTGACCTACTTTTTGAACTTTGCAGGCATTCAATTTCAAAGCGTTTTAGAGGCATAATTTGGACATTTTAAGGCCTATGATCATAAAACTTTGTAATTTAAATTGATGCATCTTGGGTCCTCAAAAAACGTCAACTGAAAAGTACATCATCATGACCTACTTTTGAAATGTTATGGCTATATTTAAATATTTTGGGTACAATTTGTCTTAGAATCATCAAACTTTGTCAGTTTGTGCAACTTTGGTCCTCAGAGTAGGTCGACTAAAAAGTAGGTCACTCTGACCTACTTTGGAATTTAATGGCTATATTTAAATATTTTTGGGTACTAATTTGCTTAGAGTTGTCAAACTTTGTTGGTTGATGAATTTTGGGTGCTTGGAGTATTTAGACGGAAAAGTAGGTCACTGTGACCTAATTTAATTTTTTTTCAGGTACTAATTGGCTTAGAATCATCAAACTTTGTCAGTTGATGCATCTTACGTCCTTAAAGTATGTCAACTGAAAAGTAGGTCACTGTGACCTACTTTTGAAATTTTATGGCTATAATTAAATATTTTAGGTATTAATTGGCTTAGAATCATCAAACTTTGTCAGTTATTGCATCTTGGGTTCTCAGAGTATGTCAACTGAAAAGTAGGTCAAGATGACATATTTTGAAATTTTTTGGCTTTATATATATATATTTCAGGTACTATTTGGCTTAGAATCATCAAACATAATTAGTTGATGCATCTTGGGTCCTCAGAGAATGACAAGTGATAAGTAGGTCACCATGATCTACTCTCAGGTACTAATTGGATTAGAATCATCTTGGGTTCTCAGAGTGTTTTATCTAAAATGTAGGTCATGATGACCTACCTTAGGAATTTCAAGGCTTAAATATCTAAACATACTTAGAGGCTTTAAATAGAAGTGATGGGTTGTACAGTTTATCAGAAGAGTGATTCAAGGCCCTTGGGCCTCTTGTTCACTCTGCAATTGCTCAATAAATTAAAAAAAAAGGAAGAAAAACTTAAGAAAAGTGTATGTTTATAGAAATCAAAAGACTTGAAAATTCCAACCCTTTATTCCTTATGTGCATATTTGTAAAACTTACTTTGTTTTGTAAATTGTAATTTATATGTACAGTAAGCTTGATCACAATTGGCTTGACAGGGTGTAAAATGTAAATGCAAGCTACGTCAAGTTTTAAAGTTAAAATAAAGAAATTGTTAGTGAAGTACAATTTGTGAACTACAATTGACAATCTACAAATTGAGCTTTACATGTGCACTTTAAAGGATTTACAAAGTTGGAATTTCGAACTCTTTTGCTTTTCATATACTTTCATTGGATTTCATTTTTGTCATCACTTCCGGAGGACCCCTTCAAGTACCAGCATTCTTTTTTCGTATTTTGAATTGTGTATGCACAACAGCTTTCTTCTGTCATTCGTGAGATGATCCAGACGTAAAAAGATTTTAGACACATTTGAAAGTCTACGTCGAAAGTGATCTTGCATAGTTCAAAAAGTGCTGGAAACAACGAATTCAGTGAGAAAACCATGAAAAATATTTTATGAAAGATGTCACAAATTGAATGCGCACCTCATCGTCACAGATATTTAGCATTCAAACTTTTTTGTGGAGGAATACATTACTGAATATTTTTTTTTATGAATATATATATATATATATATATATATATATATATATATATATATATATATATATATATATATATATATATATATATATATAAAAGCTTTTTTTTTTCCTTGGATGTGCTAAAACTGGGTAAAAAGTTATTGTATATAAGTAATATAACACTATTTTTTGTTAAGTAAGAAGTGTAAATTAAAAATAACGAACTTGAAAAACAGGTTTTACTTAGCAAGCTATTATCAAAAACAATCAAACAATTGAAATATAGATAAAATAGCATATCTTTCTCATTCAAAATCGTTTGTTGAAGGTTAGAAGAAGGTTAAATATGTCTTTAGAGCGTGGACACCGGTGTTTGCTAGGCAATATAATCTGGTCCTTTATACCAGTATTACGCGAATTGCACTGTTTCAATGGAGCAAAACGTCATAACAGAATGTCACTGTGGTTAATTAGTATAAACGTTGAGTTCATGTAAATCCTTTTACTTGCATATGACGTCATGTAACAATGGATTCCTCGTCTGAAGTAGACATTATATCAGCTAAATCAACATCTTGAAAGCCAACAGACGAGTCTGAGAGAAATGACTCGTCGTCAACATCCGTCAGCGTTGTATCGCTATTATAGACCTCGTTTTTGCTTGGCGGCCACTTCACGTAGACTGGTTTTGCTGTTGATGCACCCTCATTTCTATCCGGAAACAAAACATAGATGGTTTCCTGGTCCAGTGACTCTCTTCGGTCAATGGGTTGTTTGGCCGGACTAACCTCTACAACACTGTCTTCTGATGATTCCGTAGACGAAGAACTTTCGGAAACGTTGTCTGTGAACAGTCCTCCCTTGGCAAAGTTTTGCCGCTTTGTACTGGTAGTTGAAGTTTCTAAGAAATTGTCGAATGTTGGCGGTTTCAGTTTTGAGTCGTCCATATTAGCTGATGCCCTTTGCTTCCTGGTTCTTGGAGACTGAGAGATTATTTTGATCGTTACCTGGACACAGTAGTCGGTGTTATTGCCAGAATGCAACAGAGCTTCTTTGAATCCATTGACCAATAATTCAGGGGAGATCGGTCGTGACAAAGAAGAAACCTTCTTTTGCTCTGAATTGAAATAATACCCACTTTTTGATATTGGAGGAAGTGCATCGGATCTTAGCAAGTCATTGGTGCTGAGGTCATCATACGAGTGTGTAGGTGACTGTTGCTTAATGCCCTGTTGGAGTAAGATTTTTTCGGTGAATTCACCAGAAACGTGATGAGGAAGTTTAAGTCCTGGCTCCCTGACAAATACTACAGGAATACCTTGCTCTTGAGCGTAACTTAGTGCCTGAAGATATGAAACATTGCGAAAACTAGAAGATGTCATAAAGAAAACAATCCCATCTACACTCTCTATCTCTAAGCTCATGTCCATGCTGCTCTTAAAACAATTCACAAAAACTTCAGATGATAATCTGCACACAAGAGGAGACCATTTCAAAGTATCTGAGTGGTCGGATGACATTCCTATGATTCCGAGATGAAGTTTTTCATGTCGAGCACAAGATGGACATTGCAGATCAGACGACACCTCTGATGAAACAGATATTGTCGGCATGGTGAGTGGTTCACAACGCTGTGTATCGTAACTAGAGAGTGGTCTTCTGGGCACAGATTTTGTTCCAAGAGACAAAATCTCCCAGATTTTCCCTGTGGAACGATGATCAGCGAGTGTAGGATATCTTCTTATTAACTCCAATACTTTGGCAAATGTTCCTTCGTTTTTCATCAAATATTCCAAGCTTGATTTGTAGGTCATATGAGAGGTAAGGGGTGATTTCTGCCTGTTCGCAGTTTCTACAGACAGACTCGGCAGTTGTCGTCGACGAACTTGAGTGCCGGGGGAGTTATGCGATGCCATCACTTATTGAAAAAAGCGTCATACTGCAATAGAAAATGATAAATCTATAAGAGAAATAAGTTACTGGCAATTGAATACTTAATTCTGGTTTAGATAAACGGAAAAAATACACCATATTTGGATTTAATCATCAGGATTTTAGGGGGGAGGGGGCATTTTCTTTAAACGCCGAAAAAAAATAATCTGGGGAAAACTTCAAGCTAATTGTTTTCTTTCCTTGTCCCCACATGCAATTCCTCAAATACAATGCATAAGAAGGCTAAAACATTTTTGGAATTTCTAGCTCAACTGAGCTTAAGGCTTAAACGAGTTTTTTTTTCTGATGAAAGAGTGGCGGTTGTTGTCTGTCTGTCATCTATAAGCTTTCTCCAGAACGAATGTGCATTTTCAACCAAACTTACCACGAAGAATTTTTGGGCAAAGACACTCAAGATTATTCAAAAGAAGGGTCATGTCCTACGTCAAAGGGAGGTATTTCAGAATGGCGAAAATTTGGTCGAGTCAGGGACATAAATTTCTTATTTGCATGCTCTCATATATTGTAGATTCATTTTTTCCTTCAATTCACGATCAAGGGGGGCAGGAGGAGGCCGTAATGGAAGGGGGGGGGGCTCAAAAATTTACACGGTAATTGTATATAGAAATTTATTATTATCAAAAAACGTCTTCTTAAGAACAGCAATTCCACAGTCATCTTGATATAAAAGCAGTAGCATCTTCACATTATGTAGATTAAATTTGTTTTAATTGTGAATCCTTGGGCTAGGATGAGGCCACAGTGGGGGTTCAAATTTATGTATCGTTTTGTGTAGAAAAAAAAATCTTCTTTCTTAGGAAGAGCAGATCCAAGAGAAGTCTTAATATTGTAGAAGCATCCTTATGTAGAGTAGAATCAGTTTTGACAATGTGTCAGAATTGAACATATACATGTATATAATGGAGACATCGATAAAAAGTTTCTAATAGGGAAAAGCAGGGTCATAATTAGTCAAATATCTGCACATTTGCTTTAACCCCCCCCCCCCCTTCCGCTTTTAGAGCTAAGCTTGGGTCACGATCGGCCGGGGAACAGTTTGATATATGAATATATTGAACGCAATTGCTAAAGTTGACATTAAACCTCAATATACTGTAATATTCAAATTATTGAAATCATAGACTTTAATTTGGTGACCACAATAAGGGGATTCATTTATCGTCATATACATATTCCAGAGGAGAATGGTGACTCAAGTGAGCGTTGTAGCCTGTGGCCATTTGTTTATTCTTGTTGTCCCCCTAAAATGTAACCGTTTTATTTCAACATTTTTTTTCAGTGATTCATTCGCTGTCATTAGTCTAAAACGTCTCCAAATCGATTTAAAATCTACAGTAAATTGTCACAGATAGCAATTAAGTATTTGGAATCATATTTTTTTTTTTTAAAAAAGCGACTTACCTTACTTTCTGCCTTGTGTTGCCTTTAGCAAAGAGACGATGTGTGCAAAGTAAACAGAACAACCATGGTCCATCTCCATTATAATGGTCTTGTCAATTACACAGTTACGCGTTTTTATGTTGGATTCAGGGTTAGCTTTTTCCATGACAACGGAGGAAATGAAATGGGCATCGATCTGACATAGGTTAATATATAAACATTGGCATACAGGTTCAGGCAATAACCTATACATTCACACAGAACTTTATGACGTGTGTTAGATCAAGAGCATATTCGTTTTCAGTAATATTGACGCTTATCTAAGTACATGTATAGTTTTTCATTGCCATTTGAGATCTAGAAAACTATAACAATAGTATTTCACCATGGGATAATTATCACCGTATGTATTGACGTGCATTTTTGTATACAGACTTTCGAATGCGCAAAGACATATTTATAATATGCAATTCATTTTTTTAGCAGAACCTCCAGGGAGGACCAAACTCTGATGTGCAATATGTCAAAACGTTTTTATCTCTTCAAATCATAACCTAGGAAAGATTACAAGGGTCCAAAATATAAAAAAAAAAAATCTTCCTATCATTTGACTTTTAAAACCAATTTATTCTAATAAAGTTTGATTATGATGGTGATTCAAAATTTGATAGATCTGGGTATATTAAAAGCAAAATACATGTATATAATATTTTTTACATAGAAAAACTATACCAAAGTTCATCGTTTCCTTTTATATCCCGTCAAAATGTTTCCCGAGTAAAACAAATTCTCATATCAAAACCAACTATGCAGAAATGTCCAATTACAAACTTACTATCCTTCGGCTTGTGGTAATTAGATGGTACATTATAACTGATTTGAAAAAAATGAATTAATTTTTTTGACAGAAATGACATAGTTTCTACTGCATAGCATATATAAAGCGTGATTTTAAAGATACACGTACATGTATAGGTAATTTCTGCTGATATTTCACAGTTTGTAAAATGGTATAGATTCACGAAAATATGAAGAAAAAAGGGGACTTTAGCATATTTAATGTACACTTTTGTAAATTACAGATTACATGCAAATAGATCAAGATATTTAAGTGATAAAAAAATGTGTATAAAGTAATAGCAAAAGAAACACAGTTGAACGTCATAGAAGGTTAATAATTTATCAATATTTAAGATACCCAATATATGTGCATCATTTACAAGATTATATTTCAATCCATCATCCAATTCTTTGTTTGTAGTATCTGTCCACTAATCGGATCCTTGGTGACTCCGTCACCCGCACCTATTAGATGGAGTCCAGTGGGAAAGGAATCTGCAGAGGTTTTCTGAATAAATTAGCAAGGCTAACGTGTTTGTATGCAGAGCTGATGAATCATTTTATGTCGTCGAACCTCAATCTTTTTTACCCCACAATTATCTGTACGGCAAAACATAACACAAGAAAGAATTTGATAAAAGTTAAGTCAGACAAAATAATGTAAATGGTGGGAAGTCGAAGAAGTAGAGGTCAATACATACAAGAAAAATTAGAGAGCTATGAAATGTTTTATTACCTTCTTTAATAACTATATTTAAAAATCTCGAGGATCAAAGAAAAAAGTGATACCATCTCGTTTTAACATTTTTCTTTTCAAGATTTACATCAACAAAAGAACGCAAAAAATTTCCATCCTTGAACACCGATGATGTCAATTATTACCACTTCTTGACGTCACTCAAGCTCCTTTGAAAGGTAAGGTGCCATCATGCGACAAATGGTGTTTTAATTAATGTACTTTAACACATATTTATCACCTTATCACGTCACAATGTTCACAGAAAATTAAACAATTATGGAATTTTCACATCCATGATCAGTTACAATAGATGGCGTTATATGACTTACTAGTATTTGAAATTCCGAAGTAGAAACACCAGACAGATGTACAGGGGAAACTATCACCTCAGTAACACAGATATAGAGTAAAGGAGATGCAGTTGAAATTTGTTCCAGAAACCGTCTGGTTACAGGTTATTTCTTTCAGAGGAAGCATTGAAACGTTCTCAAAAAACGAATGTCATCCTTAGGAATCAGGTGTTTCGAACGAGGTTTTCATCAGTTGAAAGTCCATCTGTATTTTTCCTGCACCTTATTTCCATGCAGTTTATTTTTCTTAAGCAACGCTTTTTGATTTTGTCATATTATACTTTTGAACAATTTCAGAAGATAATCATTTATACTAAAATGGGAACTAGACAACGGAATAGCCTCTACCCACCACATTCTCGCCCAACCACCCCTTTTTCTCTGTCCAGATGCATCCTCCTCTCTTTATACCCCTTTCTTTTCCCCCATTATGCTTCCTTTTATTGTCGTTTCTGATTAACTTATATTATGAATCTCTTGAACTCTTTCTTTTGTTCATTTTATTACCGAGTGGTATTCTAAAACTTTTACAATATGAAATGAAATCATGTCAACATTTCCTTGAATAACATTGTTACCTGTATAAATTTGTTCAGTGTTAATATTGAGGAGGCCAATATCACAGGATTTGACGTGTACACCCCCCCCCCCCATCCCCCCCGGAGCTAAGCTTAGGTCACGATCGGGGAACAGTTTGATACAGAAATATATTGACCGCAATTGCTAAAGTTGACATTAGGAAGTCAGAGACTTTAATAAAGTGACTACAAGAAGGGAATTCATTTATCGTCATGTATATATACCAGAAGAGAATGGTGACTCAGGTGATAATATTTTAGATACCTAATATGTGCATCATTTACAACCAGATTATATACCGATCCATCATCCATTTTTTTGTTTGTAGTATCTGTCCACTAATCGGACAATGTATCTCGGTAAACCTTGGTGATTTCGTTACCTACAACTGTTAGAAGGAGTTAAGTGAGAAAGGAATCCGCAGAGGTTTTTTGAATGAATTAGCACGGCTAACGTGTTTATATGCAGAGTTGAGGAATCATTTTATGGCGTCGATTACCTTCTTTATAATAACTTTATTTAAAATCTCGAAGATCAAAGAAAAAAGCGATACCATTTCGTCCTAACATGATTTCTTTTCATGATCAGTATCAACAAAAAAGAACGCAAAAAATTTCCATCCATACACCGATGATGTCAAACATTACCCCTTTTTGACGTCACCCAAACTCCTTTGAAAGGTAAGGTGCATCATGCGACAAATGGTGTTATATAATTAATGTTCTTTAACACATATTTATCACCTTTTCACGTCACAATGTTGACAGAAAATTAAACAATTATGGAAGTTTCACCTCTAGGATTAGTGATAATAGATGGCGTTATATGAACTTACTAGTATTTGAAATTCCGAAGTAGAGACACCCAAACACATGTACAGGGGAGATTACCAGGTCGATAACACAGATCTAGAGTAAAGGAGGGGAGCAATTGAGCATTGCCTGTGCGATTTGTTACAGAAACCGTCTGGTTACAGGTTATTTCTTTCAGAGGAAGCGTTGAAACGTTCTCAACAAACGAAATGTCATCCTTAGGAATCCGGTGTTTCTAACGAGGTTTTCATCAGTTGAAAGTCCATCTGTATTTTTCCTGCACCTTATTTCCATGCAGTTTATTTCTCTTCAGCAACGCTTCTGATTCTGTCATATTACATGTATACTTCTGAAGAATTTCAGAAGATAATCATTTATATTAAAATAGAAACTAGACAGTGGAATAGCCTCTACCCACCACATTCTCACCCAACCACCCCTTTTTCTCCACCCAGATGTATTCTCCTCCTTTCTTCATATCCCTTTCTTTTCCCCCGTTATGCCTCCTTTTATAAGTTGTCGTTTCTGTTCAACTTATATCATGAATCTCTTGAACTCTTTCTTTTGTTCAAGTTTATTATCGAGTGGTATGCTAAAACTTTAACGATATGAAATGAAATCATGTAAACACTTACTTGAATAACATTGTTACCTGTATAAATTTGTTCAGTGTTAATATAAGGAGGCTATACCTTGGTGACTCCTTTACCTGCATCTTCAAAAGGAGTCCAGCGGGAAAGGAATCTGCAGAGGTTTTCTGAATGAATTAGCAAGGCTAACGTGTTTATATGCAGAGCTGATGAATCATTTTATGGCGTTGATCACCTTCTTTAATAACTATATTTAAAACCTCGAAGATCAAAGAAAAAAGCGATACCATCTCGTTTTAACATTTTTTCTTTTGATGTTTTATATCAACAAAAAAGAACGCAAAAAAAATTAGAAGTAGAGACACCCGAACAGATGTACAGGGGAGACTACAACGTCGATAACACAGATCTAGAGTAAGGGGGGTGCAACTGAGCAGTGCCTGAGCGATTTGTATTTTTCCTACAGCTTATTTCCATGCAGTTTGCAACGCTTTAAATTTTATGTATTATACCTTTGAACAATTTCAGATGATAACCATTTATATTAAAATGGAAACTAGACAATGAAAAAGCCTTTACCCACCACATTCTCGCCCAACCACCCCTTTTTCTCCATTTAGATGTATCCTCCTATCTTCATATCCCTTTCTTTTCCCCCGTTATGCTTCCTTTTATTGTCGTTTCTGTTTAACTTATATTATGAATCTCTTGAACTCTTTCTTCTGTTCAATTTTATTACCGAGTGGTACATTCTAAAATTTTTAGTTATGAAATGAAATCACGTAAACATTTACGTAAGTGGGCTCAAGCATAGGATAGGACGAAAGTAGTTAAATTCTAAAAATTTATTATTTTATAATAAATTTGAAACTTTGTTACCTGTATGTAACAGGGTTTTCTTAGTAGACAAGACAAACGCCCGTTGCTCAGATTCTCGTATAGTTTATTATGAATGTTGAATGTATATAAACAAACAAAGCACTGAAAATATCAATAACAAATTATAAATATTTAAACAAGATGTGTTTGTGAAACACTGATGCCCCCGTATAGCAGCTTATGGCGAATGTTAAAGTAAAGTTTCTCAAAAGCAAGTCAAAATCCAGGCCAAAAGATGAAAAATGTTGGTTCCCAAAGAAAGGTCTTGTCTCGAGGAATATACCTGTGAAATTTGAAAGCCCTAGCTGCAACTGTTCAAAAGTTATGGCGAAGGTTAAAGTTTTTTAAAAGTAAGTAAAACGTCAAGGTCAAAGTTGTTAGTATTCAAAGGAAGGTCTTGTCACA